ATAGACGGATGTACCAGCATAGTCGTCCCGCGCCGCCTTATCAGTGGCAATAAACAGCAGCACAGCTTGAAAAAGCTTTCGGAGAGGCGGCGCCCACTCTTTGGGCCCTTGTAAAAAATTGTTAGCTTCCGCTTTGTGGCCCACAGGCCAAGATAGAGGCGGGAATGGCCAGGGGGTGCAGGAATGGCAGCGGGAATATTTCAATTTATGGCAGTTTGACAGTTTTTCGATGTTACGTGCTGCGAATTTTTCTGCACTGCTGAGCGCGAGGCGCGGCTCTGCGCGCTCTATTTTAATTAAAATCCTGGAAAATTAAATTACGAAAAATGTTCAGCTGGCGCAATGCAGCAAGCAAAGCAAGAGCAAAACTCGAAGTACAAGCAAACAAACAAGCGCTCAAACCTTATACATAGAACACCCACCCACGGAGCCTACTGAATGGGGCAAGAGAGAGGGACGGAAATCACCGCTCAAGTTCACAGAAGCCGGCAACAATTGGAGTCGATTGTCATACATAAATCATCAATTGCTGTCGTCGTCGCTGCGACAGAACAGTGAGTCAAAAGTTGGCAGCAAATTACTCTTGAGAGCTGCGAACATATTTTACATACAGCAAGCGTGGCTTTGAGGCTTTAAGTCCAATGGATGATGGGGTATTTTGAGCAAAGAATAATGGTTGAAAGGAAATTGATCATATTTGTAAAACATATTCCTTAAAAACCAAATATTGAACTATACAATTTAATGATTATTATTTTTATTTAATATAGTATTAATTTTTCACTGAGAACACAGTGTATTTATGTTGTTCACATTGGCTGCTTCCAGCTATTGTTGTTACTCTGTATCCAATATACATGTATTCCTTCTTGTTGATTGGACATCTCTTGCCTCTGGTGATAGCTTCAATTGCTTTGAATTGGATTATAATTAAGTGCTAATGTTGATTCAATAAGTATGTCTATCAGATAAGATTCTAATTTAATTTATAAGCAAAGATTGCGCTGAAGTGCTGTGTGAACAGTGATTAACTTATTTTTATTTCGTATATGAAATACGTATGGTATGTGTGTTTTACTTTTGCCGTTGCTGTTTTCAGCAGCTAAACTGATTACCTGTCAATTAGCAGTTCACAAAGCGTGACTTTCACATGCAGACTGCTCTTTTTCGACCCATACGCCCACTCCCACTACCAGACTCTGTCTCCAGTGTTATTTGCGGATAATTGCATTTCAACATTTTACCAGACGCCAATTATGCTTTTCAAGCAGAACACACACAAATTGTAAAATGTATTCATTTGACATAATTGTAATTGAATTGTCTATAGTGAAATATGCATGTGAATGAATGGCAAAAGCACAAACAACCGTGAAACAGAGCTGTTACAATTTGATTCATTTAAATACGACAAACGCAGACCGAATCGAATGGAAAGCCGCTTTTAAATGACAGCAATAGATGGTTTTTTTAATGCCCTGGAATGATGTAATAGCTTAGCCCCATATTTTTGCATTTTGCATTTGTTGAAATGGAAAGTAAAAAGAGGCTTCATGTAACTTTCAGTCAATAAAATATTACTAAGAAATATTCTTTGTTATATTAAGTATTGTAATCATAATAACCTGTGGGAAATATATATTTTTTAATTTACTTTATTAAAATAAGCCTAGCCTCTTTATACCTAGAGGTATTTTTATACCCTTGCAGGGTATTATAATTTCAGTCAGAAGTTTGCAACGCAGTGAAGGAGACGTTTCCGACCCCATAAAGTATATATATTCTTGATCAGCATCAACAGCCGAGTCGATCTAGCCATGTCCGTCTGTCCGTCTGTCCGTCCGTCTGTCCGTTTCTACGCAAACTAGTCCCTCAGTTTTAAAGCTATCTGAATGAAACTTTGCACATAGTCTTCTATATACTCTCACTGCTATATATGTCGGAACGGGCCGGATCGGACGAATATATCATATAGCTGCCATACAAATGTTCGATAAATTATCAGAAAAAAAATTATAACTTGGGTGTTTTCCAATATTTTTGCATCATTTTTGAGATATAGCTATTTAATATTATTCCAGAATTTTGGTAAAAATTTTATGAAAATCGGACGACTATATCTTATAGCTGCCATAGGAACGATCAGGAAATGGGAAAAAAATTATAACTTCGTTGTTTTTTAACGTATTTTCATCTACTCTGAGATATAAGCTTTTTTTATTATTTCAGAATTTTGGTAAAAATTTTATGAAAATCGGACCACTATATCTTATAGCTGCCATAGGAACAATCGGGAAATTAACCGAAAAAAATTATAACTTCGTTGTTTTTCAACGTATTTTCATCTTCTTTGAGACATGAGCTTTTGGTATTATTTTAGAATTTTGGTAACAATATTATGGAAATCGGACAACTATATCATATAGCTGCCATAGAAGCGATCCGTAGATGTAGAGAAAATGTAAGGCTGGGAATGTAAAACTGTAACTGTCAAACTGTAAACATAATAAATATAGAAAAAATGTTATGAAACTCTGTTTAGTGTCTGTTTTCGGCATTATAATTTATAATATAAATATCAAAACCAATCTGCAAGGGTATACAAACTTCGGCGTGCCGAAGTTAGCTTCCTTTCTTGTTTTTTTTTAATATATTTAATGATTTTATAATGCCCTGATAATTTTTTTATGTTATGTTTTAAATTCTCTAATAAACAATATTTTTTTCTCAGAAAATACGTAAAATTTAATACAACTTCAATCAGATAGAAGCTTCATGAACCGCCGGCATTTCGATTTACTTTTTGCTTAAATATTCCCTGAATTATTAATTATTTTAAATTCCCTCGCTGGTCCAGCGCGTTTTTCAATTTACCTTTATTTTTTTTATAAACTCTCAGACTCATTGGCTTTCGCGACTCTCGCAAAATTGATAATTATAAAAACTGGAATTTTTATACCACATTTCCTTGCCATCGTCCAATGTATTATTGATGGCTTGACATGGCTAAAAGGGCTCTCCAGCGAGCGCCACTGAAGTTATGCCTCTTCTGGGGTCTTGCACATGCAACTGCATATTTTAGCAGAGTGTGTTCATTCCAACAAACCAAGCCCCCGTCCGAAACGCTACCCACCCACTGCATCTGCCCCCGGGCAGCCCAGCCAAGTTGCTCGTTGGATGGTGGGAAACTGGTTTTTCAGAGACTCCCGACTACGACTCCCAGACCCGTAGTCTTGTCTAGTTTGCCGCTCAACGAGGTTGACGTCGCATGCCTTATGAATGATTCAAATGCACGTTATGTGCGCAAAAAACGAAAGATGCAAAGGAGGACTGTGTGGGGCTGTGAAGCTTTCAATACTCTTACACTTGTGTTTTTTTTTCTTCGAGATGTACTTGATGTTTATCCTGTTTGAGAGGGGTGCGAACTTGTAGTTAACTTTATTTTATTTGTAGAAAGTTTTCAAGAGATATACAGACAATATTCGTTATTTAGCTGAAACTATATGTTTCTTGTTTATATAACAAATATGTACTGATTTTTGAAAATCTAAAAATCTTCCTAAAACTAATGATCAAGTGATCAATTGATCACATATGTAGGTTTAGATTCTTTAAACAATTTTTAAATATTTAATGGGTTTTACTTAGTACACCTTTCCATTTAAATCTTTAGAGCTCCATAATCCTCTAGTAAAGCTTACAAAAATTGGATGATACCCCTTGAAAGAGTATCCGGAAAAAACAGAAAAGCCCCGGCAAAATACCGTTAAGAGTTGTTGCGCTTTTGGCGCTCGGTCTCACTCACTCTGTCGCTCTGACAGCTCTTGGCTTGTTTGGCGTTTCGGCTGATGCTGCTTGTCTTGCCGCTGTTTGTTGTTGTTTTTGTTGTTGCTGTCTGTGACTATGACCTTTGTCAATGGAATTTTTTGGCCAAAACGGCTTTTGGATTGGAGGAGAAGAAAAAACCAACTGTTTTTTTTCTACTCATTCCTCTTCTTTACGGTTGGCATTTGGTGTGTGCAAGCGCACGAGATTTTGCGGTGGGAAACGGCTCAAAATAAAAAAAAAAAAAAAAAAAAAAAACAAAGATGCAAGCCGGAAAAAAGGTATTGAAAGCTAAGCTTTGATTCGATTTATTGATGCAGATGTTGTTGGCATGAAAAGCACATGATTGTCTTTCTTTATACAAAAAGGGCAGACGATTCGAGGAACTAAAAGATAATAAAATAAACAATATAGCTTTACGTCGTATTTTTTTAGTTTTTGGTTTTGAATTTTTGCAATGTATATTAAGATATTAATATTTGTGGGGAAATTTAATTAATTTTCTATTTCATATAGGCAAATATTCAGTAATATAAGTGGTTTTTCTTATATGTTAATACAAATCTTTATCTTCACTGAGTAAAAAGATTAGATTAAAAGTATAACATTTAATCGAAAAAATCTTAACTTGCTCTCACAGAAATAAATATATATGTGATTTTTTATCAGATTCTTAAACCAAATATCATTTTTTCTCTTTTATCACACGTCACTTAACATGTAAGGCTACTCACGGCAATTCGCAGATTAAGTCTAATATTTTCCCAGACAAACGTCAATTAACAACTTATCTTAAAGCTACAAGTAATTATTTATTTAATGTTAATGCAAGTCACCTTGATGACCAACTGATAAGTTTAAATAACATTATTTCAGGAAACAATAATAACTGCATGTAGAATTACTCATCATTAAAAAGGTATTTTTGGTTTAATTGAGAGTATTTGCGCCTAACTAAATTGCGAGCAAACCACAGCAGGAAAAAAAAAACAAAACCAAAACAATAAATTTAGCGTATTTATTTGCTTATTGGGCTAACAAAAAACTGAGTTCGTGGCAGAGCGATATGAAATCATAACTTTCATTTTTTTTTTGCTGCCGCTATTCATTATTATTATCTCAAAATGTGATTTATCATAGCTTTTGTTTTCTTTTCTTTTTTGCTTTCTTTGCAGCTGTTGAATAATTTAATCGAAGGTCTCGCGATAAATAGAGAGAGCGATATTCGATAGACGACAAACTAAAAGTGGTCCGGGAATGAGTTTTCCAAGGCGAAACCGGACCTGGAACTCGTCTCCATGGAATACTGATCGTTGCTAAAAGGATGCGGATACTTTCATACCATAAAGAAGGCCAACAACTACAACAGAGGCGGCAATAATCAAGGTCAAATCGAAGGTTAGCATGAAAGAGAGTGGTAGGAAGACAGGCCGAAGACAGACAGCTAGAGAGAGAGACGAGGCGAGACTAGAGGAGCTCCCATATGTGCCAACAACTACAACAACAGCAACTAAAAGAACCACAAATTTAATAACATTTCACGCTTGAGGGAGCGATAAAAGTCTGATAACGAAAGATAACCGATAACCAACCACACAAGAGCAACAACATCAACATTACAAATATAAGGCAACACAAAACAACATCAACATATCGTCGAGAAACTAGAAGAGAGAAAAAATAAAACAACAGGGTACTAAAATGATCGTCCCTCACTAAAAATCAAGATATTACAAAGTTCCACATCATCAACATTTCCGAAGATCAGCAGTTAACCCGCAGTTAACAGAGAGACATATAGTTAACATTGAGACGTAGCCACAATCATGACCTTCTCCACCTTCACACGCAAAATGCGCGGACGCATGCGCTCCAACACCTGCAGGATTGTCCTACTCACTTCACTCGTATGGGTGATATTCGACTTTGTGCTCATCGCCCGCTACTCGGATTGCATCGGCAAGGACGGATGGCGCTGCAAGCGATCGGGGGAGTACGACGTGGAGGTGAGTTTTTGGTCGGAAATTAGTTGTTACGTCTTCAGAAATTGAGCTATGAAGCAGAGCTAGCTGTCGACAGGGCACTTTGAGCTTCAAAGTCTAGTAAAAATCCCTTTTTTTATCCTCAATATCCTTCTTTTTTCTACCCATAGTTACCCAACGCCGAGCGTCTGGTGGATGACAACCAACTAGTGGACGACAATGAGATTAATACAGAGAAATCCTTGGATGGTGATTCGGGAGCTCTTATTATGGGACAGGGCTTTGCGTCCGGTGGCATTTCAATGACCTATCCCAGTGTGGTGCTTAAAAAGTGGTTCCTGGCTCCCTCTGTGCAGGAGGCGAAAGGCAAGCCCGGCGAGATGGGCAAGCCGGTGAAGATACCCGCTGACATGAAGGATCTCATGAAGGACAAGTTCAAGGAGAACCAGTTCAATCTGTTGGCCAGCGACATGATCTCGTTGAATCGGTCGTTGACTGATGTGCGGCACGAAGGGTGAGTTATATTCGTATCCATTAACTGAGTCCTTACTGAAAACTGGTTTCATTTTTAATCCCACTGTAGTTGCCGCCGCAAGCACTATCCCTCAAAGCTGCCAACCACTTCAATTGTGATAGTTTTCCATAACGAGGCCTGGACGACGCTGCTGCGAACCGTGTGGAGTGTGATCAATCGTTCGCCGCGTGCTTTGCTAAAGGAGATTATCCTAGTGGACGATGCCAGCGAGAGGGGTGAGTTGGCGATATCTGAAAGATATCCTAGTTGTATAATTATTTCTCTGCTGCAGATTTCCTGGGCAAACAGCTAGAGGAGTACGTAGCCAAGCTTCCTGTCAAGACGTTTGTGCTGCGCACAGAGAAACGTTCGGGCTTGATTCGGGCCCGCCTCCTAGGTGCCGAGCATGTCAGTGGCGAGGTAATCACCTTCCTGGATGCCCATTGTGAGTGCACGGAGGGCTGGCTGGAGCCTCTGTTGGCGCGCATCGTACAGAATCGTCGAACGGTTGTGTGTCCCATTATTGATGTCATTTCGGATGAGACATTCGAGTATATCACGGCCTCGGATTCCACGTGGGGTGGCTTTAACTGGAAACTCAACTTTAGATGGTAAGCAATGGAGAGTACGGAGGCAATGGAAATCTTTGAACCCTATTATTTCTTAATTTGCAGGTACCGAGTGCCATCGCGTGAAATGGCGCGCAGAAATAACGATAGAACTGCTCCGCTGCGCACTCCTACTATGGCCGGTGGTCTGTTCTCCATCGATAAGGATTACTTCTATGAGATTGGCTCCTACGATGAGGGCATGGACATCTGGGGTGGCGAGAATCTGGAGATGTCGTTCCGTGTAAGGCAATGTCAAAGCATTTTCCCAATACTTTTTCCTTCCGTTTTCTTCTATATTTCTTCATTTGTTACGTTTGAATTACTGGTTAATTTTATAGCCGCAAATCAAATTCAAATGCTGCTTAAATTAAGGATTCTTTATTTATTTTAAGAGTTATCAATTTAAATTTAAATTTATTTCTAATCACACGAAAAAAACAACCAACCAACACGAAAACATTACAACAAACGCAATCGAAACCCGCAGATTTGGCAGTGCGGCGGCATTTTAGAAATAATACCCTGCTCCCATGTGGGTCACGTGTTCCGTGACAAATCGCCGTACACCTTCCCCGGCGGCGTGGCCAAAATTGTGCTGCACAATGCGGCCCGAGTGGCCGAAGTTTGGCTGGACGAGTGGCGTGATTTCTATTATTCGATGAGCACAGGTTCGCAAAAAACAAACAAAACAAACAAAAAACCACCAACAATCAAAATCAATCAACAAACCAAACAGTCAAATAACATGATTCCAACCACAAGTCAATTTTAAATTGCGTGCATCTCTAACTTCTAACCTTAAGAACTACTCGTTATCTCCTAATCGTAATTGGTTTTAATTCGCTAACAGAAAACACAACCCAAAAACAAAAAGGTTCCCACTAACACTAACACCTTACATATTAAATCCAGCTGATATGTATTTTGAGCATACAACTAACTAATCTATAGCTACTATAACCATAACCCAACAATTAGTATTTATCAATAACTTGATCATCCCTAAAAGTATGTCGTGTTCATCAGAGAGAGCGCTCCTGAAATCCACGACGATGATGAGCTTCCTTTCCTTTAACTCACAAGCACTGGCATTACCTTAATATATTAGAACGTTTCCCTTTTTTATGATTTCTCTGATCGAAATTCTTCTCAATGTTTCTCCGAATTCTCCTCAGTTTCTCAGTACTTTTCGTGCTCATGCTCATTACATAATCAATCAATCAGCTAACTCCGAAATAATACTAAACACTACTTAGGCCTAGGTATTAACGTATCCAGTTATAATCCAGTTGTTATCCAGTAAAAACGTGTTAAAAACCTAAGCTAAACATTACTGACATACATTTATCTCGTTGCTTATTAATTATGTTTTAAGTATCTGACCAATTGGTGACTAATTATTGTATTAAGTTAATTTTATTATTTATTTATTAAGTTGTAACTAATACTTGAAATTCTGTTGACATTTTTTTTATGGGTTTCTTAAACAACGTTCTGTGTTCCTGGTTGTCTTGAGGGTTGGGTGTGGCTTGAAAGATTATGAACAAATTTCTGAGTTAAATATATCATTTGGATATATTCGATATTTATATTTATAAAGTACAAGCAAGTTTCTTCCCAGAATAGCAGTTTCTTTAAAAGAAAACCTCATTTTTGATAGCAAAATTTATTACCACTATGGAAGTGGTACTTTAAAGTGTCGCAAAGTTTCTGTGCTTTTCAAAATGATTTCCTATTACTAGCTTCCTAGCTTTCAAATTTACCTGCCCCTTTTCTTCATCCTTTATTCCGATTTCATTCCTCAAGACATGGTTGGGCAGCGAATTTCAAAAATCAAAGTCCAAAAACAGAAACTTGCAGTAAAAAAGACTAAGGATTTAGGCCCAAAGAGACGCCCTATAAGCTTGTTTAAAAAACTCTATCAACAGCTCTTTCTACATTTATATATTATATATCTTGTGTATATCTTTCTCGTCCAATTTTTGCCTTCTCTCCACTCCACTTGATTGTTGAATGTAACAACCACATAAACACTCTCAAAAAACCCCACTGAAAATCCGAAAACCGAAATATAAATTATGCGACTCGAATCCCAGGTGTGGATGTGCGGCGGCGTGCTCGAAATCGCGCCCTGCTCCCGCGTGGGTCACGTCTTTCGCAAGTCTACGCCGTACACATTCCCCGGCGGCACTACGGAGATTGTCAATCACAATAATGCCCGTCTGGTTGAGGTTTGGCTGGACGACTGGAAAGAGTTCTACTACAGCTTTTACCCAGGTTAAAAAAAAAAAATACAAACAAAATAAACAAAAAAATCCCCGAAATGCAAAAACCAACAAAACAAACAGAATGCTTCCCTCACTTTCTTCTCTCATATTGTCACGTTCTCTCTCTCTACTCTCTAATTTCTATTTTGTCTGTCTCTTAAATAGTGTGTTTTGTTCCGTATATATCTCTCTCCGCATACTCCACAAAAATAATAATAGTAACTATAGCATTTATACCGAGCAAACAGCAGCAGCACGCCCTGCATTATGCAATGTCTATATACACACACACGTATAAATATTTTATCAATATTTATGATTTATGGCATGGCCGTGACCGACAAAATCCAATCCACCAGACAATAAATAAAAAATAGCAATCCACCGATCAATCAACTGAATCCAACCACGAAATATTTGATTTCTTCACCCTTTTTATATGTTATTTAATTTGCAAAAAATACGTTTTTGTTTTATTGGTTCCCTCGTCTGACTCTCCTTCATTTCGTTTTCTCTCTGACTTTTATTTGTTATATTTCTCAGTTCCGTTTTGGTCTTGTTTAATCCGGCGTTCCGCCGACCCTTGTCTTTGTCCTTGTAGTGTCCCCAATTTCCATAGATCCCCAGAATTATTTAACAAAAATCACTATGGATTTCAAATTTCTTTAAAAAGTTTAACCGAATAAGGTTTGCAATGAAATATATTGTTATTCAAAAGGGAATGGCTCTTACAATCTTGTTTGTAATATTAACAAAGTTATATTGTTTCGGTTTGGTTATTATTTCATTTTTACTCAAACTGAAATACAAATTGAATGTATCTGGTACTTGTATCTACAGCTGTGTTCACGGAAATAGCAGTGCCCCACGACCTGCACGTTTAAGATTGGAAAATACTATTACAAACACTATTTTCATAAAAATTTTTTTCATAAAGGCTTAGTGTATTTAATTATTAACAATACCACAATCATTTAATTTAGGTAACATAAACCTTATAGAAGAAATAGCTAATAATAACAAAAAAGGTCTATATTATGCCGATCATTGAAATAGCAGTGAAAAACTAAAATTCTTCATAAATTTAAAAATATCGTATAAGAAACCTATTTCTTCTTAAATTCTAATTGACTATGATCTAATATTTTGTTAAATAGCCTTTAGAAGCTATCATAGCCTCATACCTGGGTGGCAAGGAGTCCACCAAGTCTTAGCAACGCTTGAGGGGATTATGGTCTCATTCCTCCTGCACAAATCGCCAAAGCTGTGGCTTAGAAGTCGGAAACTTCTTTAATACGTAGCCCTTTAAGTCCCCCATAAGTTTTCGATCGGATTTATATCCGGGGACTGTGCAGGCCATGGCATTGCATCCACTTTTTCATTAAGAACCCACTCCTTGGCCACCTTGATGGTATGATTAGGGTCACTGTACTGCTGAAATGTCCAAATTAATGGCATATTTTCATCAGGATACGACTGCAAGACAGTTTTTAATATTTAGACATAAACATAATGGTCTTTGATCCCACCGATCATATATACGGGACCTACAACGTTGTATGAAAAGTATGATTTTTAGGCCACCATGTTTTACTGTCTTCAGCGTATGGTTTGGAGGATACTATCTATTTGGAGGTCGACGGACATATTGTCTTGTCCTATTCCACCAAATAAAACTAGTTTGGAGTCATTTGTCCAAAGGATATTACGCCATTTGAATAGTGGCAGTTCAAGTGGCTATTGGCGAACTCGGATCTGGCCTTGATATGCCTGTAACCAAGCAGTGACATTTTCCATGGACTTCGCGAATCAAAAATGTATTCAATAAGTCCCCGGCGAATGGTCCCATGACTGATTCCCATGCCAATTCCCGCTCATATATCCCTAGAGGATGCAAAAGGACGAGCTTTGCTGAAGCGAAGTACGCGTCTAGCCTGTACAATTGTGGTTTTGCGAATCGTACCTCGGTTTTTTTGGGTTCGGTTCATATTTTATGATTTATAAACTATTTTAAAAGAACAATTTGAAAGATTTAGAGACTCTTTACATGTTTTGCTCTTCTTTCTAGGCTAAGTAATCTGATACCTTTCTATCATGGAGCAGTGAGGTCCTGCGCCCACTAAAATAATTTTTTTTGCGTTGTAAAGGTGTATTATAGTATAAACTATAATAACGACCGTAATTAAACTTATTTTTTACAAAATTAAAAGAAATTTCGGCACTTTTTGCGAAAGAAAATTAAATACTGCTATTTCAGTGATCGGCCAAAACGAGCTGCATATGTGAAAAAATATCAATAAAACATAAAAATAGAGCAAATCTAACGGAATTTTTTCTCGATTCTTATCTTTATGTTCCATTTTACAAAAACAATGTGCAATAGATCAGCTAGCAAAACGGAATGTGTACAAAAAAACGTTTTGAAGTTGTTCCTCTGTCGCACTGCTATTTCCGTGAACACAGCTGTATATTTGGGGTGCCACAGAAATCGCTATGGCTTTAAAAAAGTAATTTCAAATCTCTGTGATTTTAAATCCCTAGTTATTTCTCTGGTTCCCCTGCGTGCCTGTAGTTATGTTTAAATGTCTTGTAAATTATATATGTAATTGGCTTTGCTTTTAAATTAAATACTTTAAAAGTGCTTGTGGTAGTCGTTGGGTAAATGTTTTTTGCATGCTTTATTTTATGTACTAAATGTATTTAATATATTTATAACTTTCATCACACGCACCAAGACTTTTATATTTATATTTGATCATAAAAGCATTTTTAACTTGCCTTTCTAACACACCCACACACACACACACCTAGATCTTAAAACACGAAACACTCACCAGCGCATAAATGTTTTCTTTAATTAGTCATGAATATCCTTTACTAATCACCTATTTTTATTTATTTTTACCACCCTTACCCCAACTTTAGGTGCTCGCAAAGCTTCGGCTGGCGATGTTAGCGATCGTAAGGCTCTGCGAGATCGGCTCAAGTGCAAGAGCTTCCGTTGGTATTTGGAGAACGTTTATCCCGAGAGCTTAATGCCCTTGGACTATTACTATCTGGGAGAGGTAACCTTTCAGATGGCATAAAAATGGCATACCCTTACTTATGTTTATTCCTAATAGATCCGCAATGCGGAAACGGAAACCTGCCTGGACACGATGGGACGGAAGTACAACGAGAAGGTTGGCATTAGCTATTGCCATGGCTTGGGTGGCAACCAGGTGTTTGCCTACACCAAGAGACAGCAGATCATGTCGGATGACCTGTGCCTGGACGCATCCAGCTCCAATGGTCCCGTCAACATGGTTCGATGCCACAACATGGGCGGCAATCAGGAGTGGGTCTACGATGCGGAGGTGAGTGCCAGTCTTTGCCTTACAAGAAACACCACTAACTCAGGTTTATTTATGCAGGAGAAGTGGATACGCCACACGAATACCGGTCAGTGCTTACAGCGAGCCACAAGGGACGATGCCAATACGCCGCTGCTGCGTCCCTGCAGCTACGGAAAGGGCCAGCAGTGGCTGATGGAGTCCAAGTTCAAGTGGCAGGCTCACTAGCTGAATGACACCGATGACTACAACTAAACTAAAACGGATCCTACTAACTATATACATACTGAGAACTTCCAATTTTTGTGTTTAGACCATGATGTTTGCTCTTGTTCTTTTGACATTTAATTAGCCTTTTAGTTATACTCTCTATCTCCTATTCTCTGTGTGCGTGAATGTGTTTGCTGCCGGAGAGCCAACTCCTTCGGCGGCAGGTTGTCTTCCCAAAAACAAAAAACAAATTGTGAGTGTGCTTGTGAGTTATATATCCTAAGTACATGATGGGCATGTACATGTATGTAGGCAGGCAGTTGTACGATTTATCTAGGTATATACACATATGTATTTGTAATGTAATTTACATTTAGCTTCGAGACCAAGTACCAATAAATTGGCATTTAACTGACATTTTGTGCTTCGCAGAATATAATTTTGAAAACCCAGCAAATGAGCAGGCCAAGCAATTGCCACAAGTGTGTCATAGAACAGAGCATCTAAGCTACTGATGAAGAAGAGCCCCAACAGCAGCACGCCACATTCCTAGCTAGATTTTGTTTCGTATTTAAGTCGCTTCATGGGTTGTTCCTTTCCCCCCCTTTAGGCTATTCAAAAATCAGAAAAATGTATGTTGCTTTGTACCAAAACGATGCGCTCCCTCATATCACTAAAAAAAACAAAAACGAAAATGCTTCTAAACCATAATCATTATACACAAAGGATACATGAAAAGAAAAACATGAAAAATCTCTTAAAAATTGCACGCATATCATAAATACAGTGTAAAAATATTTATAAAATAGATCTGAAAAGGGAATAATAACAAGAGAATTGTACATACGATTATTGTAGCTATTATAAATATACATTTAAATAAAATATTTATGTGTAGTATATGATATACATATATATATGCGAAGCAAGCAAAAACTGTACTATAAATTGCATTTAGCTTTAAGTTTACCCCTAAGTTCTAAATTAAATTTAGATTTAGTCAAGGTTTTTCATTACCAACAACACGAAACAATAGCTCTCGACTAAATATTGCTCAAAATCGAAGAACTCTAATCTCTCAGCTATTGTGTAAATATTTCGAAAATAATTCCAATCAAAAGAATGAAGCGTAAACCTGACTACGATCGGAATTCCGCACAGACAGACCCTAGGACACAGGCCAAGTAAAAGTTTTTAGCAAAATTTATTTTTTAAAAAAGAAATCAACCCATAGCTATTAACGATATATACATATGAAAAAAAAACAACTATTTTTAACTGGTGACGGTGCAATTTTTAATTAACATTAAACATGGCGTGAAACAGGAAATATGAATCCAAAATCAAGCGAGACAAGGCCTCCTTTTCCGATGATAACAATCCTATAACTAGTGTGTGTTTAAGCCGCATATACAACATAATAGCTGCCTACACATACATACGTTTTAAATTGTTGATTTAAATGTTTAGCTAAATATAGGTTTCCTCCCATTTCGCAATTGTAAAACTCTCTCAGACACAAACCGAAGGATTAATAGGAATGATTATACAAAAAGAAAAAAACTGAATGTAAGCCAACATTTTCTATGAATTTTTCATTTAAATATTATTTGTTTGTTTAGAGACTTTTTAAATTTTATAAATAAAAAATGAGATGACAAATTTAAGACAAAATCTAAAATGAAAGTGGTCTACTATTCTTGGTGGTGCTTTAAAAGGGTAAGAGTTTAGCTATATAACATTGTTTTGGTTTACAATTTATAAATTTGTGAATATCCGTTACTCTTTTTTATTGTACTGATAAACAAGAAGCCGATTTTGTTAATAACTTCTAAACCAGAGGCATTATGCTTTTAACATAAAAAAGACCTTTTTGGTAATGACTACGTATATATGTTACTACATCTGGGTCTTAACCGTTTTAGCCTTAATTTGGCTGTTAAAAATTCGGAGCAGATGAAATAATCAAAACTTCACTAATTACAAAGATGCAAGCACGATCTTATACTTTTGGATAAGGAAACACATTTCCATTTGGCATTTTTAACGTTGACAATGGACAATTCAAATAATTCCACGTCGTCGACTAATTTGAACACTTATCAACGCCGTTAAGCCAAGGTCTATAACTCTAAACCGATGACAAACACACAAATAAACATCACTTTGGGTTACCGATATAAGTAAAAAACATTTTTTTATTTTCACATGACCGGCACGGCGCAAACCACAGGAAAATCGCGTTGTCAATTAAAAACTACGGGAACTAGCATAACGGAGCATTGGATTGGATTGGTCCATTGCATTGTTTACTGCTCCTTGGTTTCGCGCAGACGACGGACGGCCGAACGCACAGAGGCGGCGGCGGTGGTAGAGTACACCCAGGCGCCACCGGCGACGGTGCGCTTGCAACGCTTGCAGGACCAGATGCCCACCACGGCGCGCTTCATGGAGTCCTAGGAACCGGGGGAGGGGAAATACATAATTAGTAAGAGACTCTTTATGGGGCAAATTCACTGCACTCACCTTGCCGCAGAAGGAGCAAGTGTACTTGCTGTGCTGCGTGATTTCCATCTTCTTGACCATCTTACGGAGCGAGGCACCATAACGGGTACCATACTTGCCGACGATTCCAACCTTCTTGGTGCGCTTGGCCTGTCAACAAAGAGGGTAAAAATTGCATTACAAGTTGTACTTTATCATCATTTTTAGGCTTCTAGGTGTCCTTGTAACCGAGAAATTCACACGTCCACTTCTGATTAATAATCCAAAAAAGGATTTTGCGCCGATTTTTGAGCATATTGACAGCGGATTCCACCAAAATTCAGGAATTTATTTTACCATTTTTCTGTTGTGTTGTTGATTTGTCAAAAATCTCAACCGGAAAGAGCCGCGTTTACCGTGTGACCAAACCGCCCCAAAAAGAATACCAATGGGAATATACTAAAAATATTATTCAAATTTTTAGTTTGTTTCCTTTTAAAATTGTATTTCATTAAAATTATTATATTTAATAATATTAAAAATGTACTTGTAGCCTAATTGTTTAATTGTTTAAGATATTATTTTTATAGTATTTCATATCATCTTCAAGTCACCAACGATTTTTTTCTTCTGCAAAAAATACATATGCTAGAAAGAGACTGCAACTTGTCCATTATTTATTTTATAATATAAAATTATAATAATAAAAAAAGAGTTATTTTCTTATTTAATTTATTATTTAATTCTTGTTTTTAACTTTTATATAAAAATCGAAAAATAATTATAGTCTGTTTAATTTTTATATAAATAATAAATAAATAGTAAATAATAAATAGTGAATACAAAATTATAATAAATAAAAATAATAAATAATGAAAATAATTAATGAAAATTAATTAAATTAAATGTAACTAAAAAAAAAATGCATTTATGTATTCGCATTAAATTGTTCATCTTTCCAGCTAAATTTTTTGGTAGTAACTTTATTTTACTCATAACTCTTCTTTGCGATTTCTGATTTATTTATAACTATTCCTCAAATTATTGTTTATATTTAGAATTTTTTACAAATTCTAGATATTTTTATACTGGGACTATTTTGGCATTTTTTGGTGCCTTAAAAATAACGTGATCAAACGTGAAGTGACTATTCTGACATGATGGTTTATTTTAACGGTCGCGCCCTGGTCACACTTATTACACAAACAAAAACGGCGACTATTTCTGCGCTTAAATTAACTCGCTTCGCGTCAATCCGCGTCGCCATGCACAGCCGCAGCCTGCTGCCTGATCCGGCTGTCTACCAGCCGGACACGCTGGACCTGAACACGGACACTCAAGCGGCGGACTACTGGTTCAACTGCTTTCGTGACATGGTGGAGAAGTTTGCCAAGGTGGCGGCCAAGTCGCAGCCCGAGGATCACACGGCCCTGCAGCGGGCAGAACAGTTCCAGGCAGCCTACCTCCAACAAGTGGAGGAGCACAGGCGCAACGTACCTGTCAACTGTGGCAAGACGGTCCTGGGCACCAGCGAGCTGCTCCAACTCAATGAGACTATGCTGCGACGGTTCGGATTTCCGGATCCCTGGCTCAGCCAAAAGAAACTGGAGAACGCCTCGGCTGTGGCTCGGCTCAAGCAGCGATTGCAGGAGCTGGACGCTCTTGAAGATGAGGACGCCATGTGGACGGAGCTGGTGCGGGGGGTGCTGGCCGGCAACATGTTCGACTGGGGCGCCCAGGCCATATCAAATATCCTCGAGCAGGACAGCAATTTCGGCCTGCATTCGGCGTTGGATCGCATCGAGAAGCGTCCCTGGCTGCTGGACAACCTGGACAATTGGCTGAAGCGCCTTAAGGGCCAGCCGCACAAGTGCGCCGTCGTGTTTGTGGACAACAGTGGAGTGGATGTGGTTTTGGGCATACTGCCCTTCGTCAGAGGACTTCTTAAGAGAGGTACTAAGGTGCTGCTCTGCGCCAACAGTGAGCCCGCGCTGAACGATGTCACCAGCCGGGAGTTAAGATCGCTGCTGGACGAATGCTCGCGGGAGTGCGAGATCTTGGCCGAGGCCTGGTCGAAAGGACAACTCCTGGTCTACGCTAATGGGCAGACGGGACCCTGCCTGGACATGCGCACGCTGCCGCAGGAGCTGTGCGAGGCCATCGCAGCCAATGAGACTGATCTGCTCGTAATCGAGGGCATGGGCCGGGCTGTGCACACGAACCTGAATGCCCGCTTCGGATGCGAGACCCTCAAGCTGGCCGTGATCAAGAACAGGTGGCTGGCAAAGTACCTGGGCGGTGAGGCCATGTTTGCTGTCATCTGCAAGTTCGAACCGGCTGCGCCCAGCTAGTCCAGGTCCCACCTGCTGCTGCCCACCCATTGTTATCCCAAAATATCCCTTGTTGACAAGAACCCCCAGGAAGATGATTGCAAGCGAGGACTGTTGTTTATTTCGAAATTATTGTTATAATCCCAAACCCATACCCAAAATCCATATATATCCCGATCCCCTAGATCTACCGATGAGATTTATAAGCTTTGTGCGTGTGTACTGTGTATAAATCATATATTGCAAGTGCTTTCGTGGTCACCTCACCCATATAACTGCTATACTTTTATTAATTAGAAAAACAGAAATATATAATAACAAAGCCTTTTGTTTATCGTGGCGGCGGTTTTATTATCGGTCACGGTTATATAGAGCGTTATTTTGATAAGCGCCGCCCCAAATGGAATGGGGAACGGGGATTACGCGCTGATAACGAGCTATACACCACTGACATTTCATCAGGCGTCGTCGGTTTTGACATAATATTTCCCACCATAAAACTTGGATAATGTCTGTGTTTGCATTTACATACGCGTTGTCTAGTTTTTGTGTCACCGCATCCATCCCGTGCGTGCCAATTCTTACGGTTAGGTGCTATCTCACTTATCGCCCAATTTGTGCTCAAAATAAACGAAATAAAAAGAAAAACAACACAGAAGACAGTTACCATAACTGGTTGATAAGCGGCTAAGCAGATAAGATCACCAGCGTAGCCAAGACCAGGAAACCAACCGGTTGTTGGTTGGTTGGTCAAAAAAATGAATGAATTTAAGCTGAATCGGAAGTATTTGTATTTTAGGAAAACAATAAATATTTTTGCCTGTTTAAATATTATATAATAGTAAAAATAATAAAATAAAAAGAAAACTTTAATTTGTAGGGCTTTGTAAAAATTGGCTTTATCCTTTTTAGTTTCCTAACTTTTGTCAAAGTCCTGAGGGTACATACATATGTATGTATGTATGTATGTAGCTTTGTTTTTAATTTTTATATATTTTTTTACCCTTGCATTTTAAGTTAAGACGATATCTAGAAGTTTTTTTTTTTAATTTTACAACTTTAAAATTGTTAATAATTTTAGCAACAAAATTTTAATTTTTGAAATTCTATACAAAATAAGCAGATTTGTTAACCCAATAAAAACTTACACAGAAAAGAGATCGAAATTGAAACTATAGAATTTCATTAACTTTGTCATTTCAAAAAAAATATAGTGAATATTTCAATATTCATTCAGTGAAATAAACAATAGACAAATTTCTTTTTTAAAGATTTTTTTACAACTAAAATATTTTTATTTGTTAACCTAATAAAAACAAACATAGACATCTTTTTGTTATAGATTTTTTCTATTTTATTCAATTGTAAACGGCCAGGGTATACAAAATTCGGTTTCCCGAAGATAGTTTTCTATCTATTTTGTCTTTAAAATATCCACTTTGTTTTATTTCATTTGAATGTGTTCTATAACAAAGCCCAATCCTTTTTAAAAGCTCTAGTAAACACAACAAATTATTTTATTGAAAATTAATGATTTGGTCGAAGACAACAGTGCGTATACGTTATAATACTTAAACTCTTGCAGGCTATAGTTAACCAGTCCTGAGGCTGGCCAGTGTGACATTAGTGAAGTTTTCAGTGCCATAAGCAGCTTGGTGCTACATTGTTCCCAAAATGTATTGTAAAAAACTGTTGTTTTTTAAGTAAATTAAAAATGCTGTTATTTTACATCTTTTTAGAAAGACCAGGCGCATTCAAAAAATACTATAGAACAAACTATTTCGGTATTTTTCCACAGCTGTCACCACACTTTTGAACGCCTCGGAAAATGTTTACGTTTCAATGCAAAAGAAAACGCTGTCCATACAAAAGTTTCAATTTCTCTCCTTTTCCCATATGCGAAAACGGAGAAAGCTATCAGGGAACGTTCTCAGGATTTTCAGTAGAGATACAGGATCCGGTTCAAGCTCAATCACTGTATGACAATGGTTGCTTTGGTAAGGGAAGCAAGTCGCGGGGAGGACCGGCATCTGGAGATGCGGATGAAACGCTGCTCCTCGGACTGGAGGAGTCCTGTTTTCTGGCCTTCTATTTGGAGGTTTTAAGCATTGAAGACCTCTCCGGCAGCGTGATGGACTTTCAAGCATTTTTGACTGCAGCAAAGCAGCTAAATGAAAGATTTGTGGAGAACTTGGCCTGCTATTTGTATTTAAAGTCCAAGAACTGGGTGATCAAGAGTGGCATCAAGTTTGGCGGAGATTTTCGTGAGTGTTTGCCATTACAATACTTTTAAACTGATAACTGACACCTTTTCCTCAGTGATCTACAAGCAGAGCCCACGCTTATACCATGCAAGCTTTCTGGTGACTGTTCAAACACCCTGCGATGTGGATTACTATCAATCAAAGAATCTAAAGGGAGTCCAACGTGTGGCAGAAACTTCCGACAAGGATGTGCTTCTCCTTAGAGTAGCGCAAGCCGGCGATGTATCCAGACCCGAGCACCTTCAGGAAATCACAGTCACAGAAACAATTGTGCGTCGATTCAATTACTCAACTTTTGTACAAAGCAAACAACAACAATAAGGAACTAATTTAAGGACTTTACTACAACTTCTCAAGACGGTGCTTCTTGGGTATGCCTGTGCTGCGGTAATCGGCCCTCTCCTGCAGATATATCTTCTTGCACTCCTCCTTGAAGGCTTCGTTTTGATACCAGCCAGTCAGGCATTCTTTGAGGGCGGCGTTCTGCTTTCGACAGGTGGCCACCATCAGGATGCTGCTGGCCTTGCAGCACTCCTGGAAATCGGCCACCTCCTTGGAGCAGAACTCTGCCTTCGCCCGATCCCGCATGATCTTGGGTATCAGAACCTCCCGCTCCACCTTGCGCAACGATGTGTCGTTGGGATCCCCTGCGAGGAGGTGCAGTGTTAGGTCACTTGAATCAATTTTGGCCAGGACTACTTACCAAGTCCATGTGGATTTTTGGGATCTATCGCCGGCTGTTGTTCCAAGCTCATATTGTCTAGAAATTATATTTATTTTTGTAAAATCCTAAGGCGACTGTTAGAGTGACCGCATGCGGAATAGTAAGAAAATACAAGACGGAAATATACCAAATGCAAAGATTCCAATTGGAAATAATCGCAAACTTTCGCTAGCGAAAAACCGGGTTCTTGGCATCCAAAAATTATGCTTCGAGATTTTGCTGAATTTCCTTGTCAAAAAAATATATCATGTATTTCGTACCAAAGTTACCCAAATCAGGCGCATTTTATTACAAACTGTTGTGCATTTAGAATGCTCAAGAACCTAACTAAGCGGATGCATTGTATTCGGCCAGACTCTTGGCACTGATGGGCTCCAGGTATCGTACACCATCCTTATCCACCACGGCGACATTGAAGTTCTTCAGGTTGACGACCAGTCGCTTTTGGATCTCCACGATGCACTTCTTGAACACATCGTAGGCCTCCTCCTGGGTGATGTTGGGGTGCCAGTAGCGATCGTAGATGCTGGATGCGAAGATCGCTCCATAGCCATGACCGGCGTAATTGACGGACTTTGCGTTGGCCAAGTAATCGATGAAGGCGAGCTCAGGTCCGTCGGCGGGATCGTAGCTGAATGGGAAAAGCGTTAGATTTGATGTGGGATGATGGCAAGACTTGATCCTTACCCGGCCACAAACATGAAGACCTGGTAGGGCGTGCGGCTGCGAAGGTATTCGGCCAGATTCTTGCGCGTGAAATGTGCCGCTGCCCGAGGGCTCAGATCGTATCCGTTGCGCATCTTGTAAAGGGCAATATTCTTTGAAATGAACTCGGTAAACTGCTCCGTATCGCCAGACTCGCCAGTGGTCGATATAATCAAGTTATCCGACACCTTGTGGATTTTGTTCTCATCTGTAAAGTATAACAATGCCACCGAAGTGAGACACCGAAGCCGCCATTATATGTGGGTTCGATTGCTTACCCTCCTTCATCACGATAATGGAGCGGGCGTGGGTGGTGTCCGCCGCCAGCATAACGAAATCAGGACCCTTAATACCCAGGAGTGTCTCCATGTTGCTTTCAACTGTGTACTTTCTGTGCTACCGAAAAGATTCCAAGTTGTTTCCAAATTGCCGAATGCAATGACAAGCAATAGTTAGGCTAGTGTGACTGTATGCTGGTAAAAGGGAAATACCAGAAAATATTTAATACCAACATGACTGAAGTGTGGACAGACTATCCACAGTCTTATCAGCGATCCGAATTTCACAAGTAAATTTACCAAATAATTAATAACCATTACAAGCAATGGAGGCACCTCCTGAGCACTGTCCCGGCGTTGAAAGCGAGCAGGCAGGCAAAGTGAGCGCCTGCGCCGGCTGCCCCAATCAGGGCATCTGCAGCGATCCCAGCAAGAAGCTTGAAGATCCCGGCAAGGCCTTGGTGGCCGAAGCCCTCAAAGATGTGAAGAACAAGCTGCTGATCCTCTCCGGGAAGGGGGGCGTGGGCAAGAGCACTGTTACCAGCCTGCTGACACGCTACCTGGCCAGGAGCTGTCCGGACAGCAATTTCGGCGTCCTGGATGTCGATATCTGTGGCCCATCGCAGCCCCGTATACTGGGAGCTTTGGGAGAGAACGTGCATCAATCTGGATCCGGATGGTCGCCCGTCGGCATTGATGACAACGTGTGCCTCATGTCCATCGGCTTCCTGCTGGGCTCCGTGGACGATGCCATCATTTGGCGGGGACCGAAGAAGAACGGCATGATTCGACAGTTCCTGAGCGAGGTTGACTGGGGGAACCTGGATCTATTGCTGCTGGACACACCGCCGGGCACCTCGGACGAGCATCTTTCAGTCATTTCCTACATGAGAGACGACAATCAGCCGGAGTCCTTGCGGGCCATTCTCGTGACGACGCCGCAGGAGGTGGCTCTGCTGGATGTCCGCAAGGAGATTAACTTTTGCAAGAAGCAAAAGATTCCCATTGTGGGCGTGATAGAGAACATGAGCAGCTTCCGGTGCGGAAATTGTGGCAATAGCTCGGAAATCTTTCCGGCTAAGACGGGCGGAGCGGCTGCCATGTGCGCTGAGATGGGAGTGCCACTGCTGGGTTCCCTGCCCTTGGATCCCCAAATTGCGAAAGCCTGCGATTCAGGCGAGGATATAACGGCCATTAAGAACAGTACAACGGAGGCGCTGGAAGGGATTTGCTCTAGGATTATGACTAGCTTTAGGTCCTAGTATATGAAGTTAGATGAACAATTTAATTAGTTTCAAATATATGAAAAGTTTTTTTTATGTTTTAAATGGTATCGAGATGTACAGTTTGTTCGATCGGTGTTTACTAAAAATAAGATAATACATCGTAGTGAGCTTGGCCTGGCGTCTTAAAATTAAGCATTAATCGTAGGCGGCGAGCTGTGGGCAGGGTTTTGCAGTGTAACATTCGGTGTTTCAATGGCGGTGCTCTCCATGGGCGGTGCGAAGGTCGTGTCTCTACCCTGCGGTACTGGCTCCTGCGAAGGTCGTGGTGGTGCTGGCGTATCGTTTATTCCGGTGCTGTCCATGGGCGGGGCAAAGGTGGTCTCCCTGCCGGCCTGAGTCAGTTGTTGCGATGCCTGCTGACTCTCCAATTGGTGGTTATCCTCGCTTTCGGTTATCATAAACGAGTCCTGTGTATTATTGCCACCTAGCATCCTTGATTGCTGCGTGCTGGCCGGCAGCTGGGGCGGAGTATTCACCAGCGTGCAGGAGTCGGTGCAGTCGTTTACCTTGTAGATGCCCACGAGATAGTTGGCCAACTCGAACATGTTCACGCGCAGCGACACAATAATGAATTGGGCATTCTTGGTGCGCTCCTAAGAGGGTTTTAAGTTCATTAGTGATTATCTGAGAAAAGGATTCGATTGACACTCACCTTGATGTAGTGACCCACAATAGACACATTCTTAAAGTCCAGCGCTGCATCTATCTCGTCCATAAAGTACAGCGGCGAAGGCTTGTAATAATGAAGGGCAAACACTAGGGCCAGCGAGGATAAGGTCTTCTCGCCGCCAGAGAGATTCGATATGAATTTCCAGCTCTTTTTCGGCGGACGCACTGTGAAATTGACGCCCTCGGTGAATGGATCCATAGAGTCGACCAGCTCCAGCTCGGCATCGCCGCCCAGCGTAATCATTTGGTACATTTCCTTGAGCTTCCTGGTGATAATGCTGAAGCCATCCATGAACTCCTTGTAGCGACGCTTGCGCACCTCCTCATACTTGTCGCGCATCTCGTTTCGCTTGGAGGTAATATCCTCCAGGACACGCACACGCTCCAGGTAAATGTTGCGCTTCTCGTTGAAGTCCTTGATGCAGCCCAGGTTGGGCTTCTTTCTGAGCTCCTCCAATAGTTTGGTATGCTCGAATTCCTTGTGATCCAGGTCGACTGCCCCAAGTTCTTCTTCGGTGTACTCTTTGAGCGGCTCTTGGGGTTCCGTTTCTCCCGGTATTTCGTTGAGCTTCAATGGCTTTAGCTTGGCCTGCAGTGTGGGTATGTCGGCCTTGACGGCGTTGAGTTTACCGGTCGCTGCCTGTAGCTTGTTGCCCAGCTCGATGCGCTCGATTTTGAGTTTGCTTTCCTGGCTGGTCAACTCATCGATTTGCTTTTTGATGTCCGACGATTGGGATTTGGCGCTGCCGATGGCCTCCTCCGCCTCCTTTAGTTCCTTCTCCAGTTCCTCCTCCTTTTCCTGGCACTGCTTGCGCTCCTCGTTCAGCGTGGTTATTTTCTCTTCCGCCCCCTTGATTGTCTCCCGGAGATTGGTATTGTTGGCAGTTATCTTCTCTATCTTGCGATCGGCCGTTGCCAGTGCAACATTCAGGGAACGCACAGTGGCGGCCAGCTTCTCTGTCTGGCTGCCCACCTTTTTGATTTTCGCTTCCACGGGCTTGACGTTGTCGTTTCGCAGGCCATCGTACTTGGCCTGGATTTCATCGATTTGGCTGGACACTGCCTGCTCAGCGAACTGGGCCTGCTCCAGCTCCTGCTTGGCAGCCTCGATCTGCTCCTCTCGCTCTCGGACGGCCCCCTCATCGGTGGTCTTTTTAAGCATCCGCTGGCGCTGCGCCTCGCACTGCTTAAGATTACTGGCCATCTGCTGCTCCAAGGAGGTGATGCTCACTGCCAGCCGCTTGCACTCTGCCTCGTCCCGCTGCTGATTCAACTTGAGAGTGTGTACCTCCCGTTCCAATCGGCCCTGCTGCTCCTGGCAGTAGTTAATCCGCGTCTGCAATTCCTCCGCCTGTACCTGCATGTCTTCCAGCGCCTTCTGGGATATCTGCGAGCTGTCTGCCGATTCCGCTGCCGTCTTGGTGCGCACCTGTGTTCCCATTTTTCCCCGTATCGGACGATTTCCACCACCGGACATGGTGCCCGTGGTCTCGATCATTTCACCGCGCAGAGTCACCACCCGGAAGCGAGTCTTGCCGTAAGCTATGCGAGTGCCTTGCTCTAGATCCTCGCTCACCAGGGTGTTCCTTAGAGAGAAGTAGAAGGCGGTCCTCACGCGATCGTCCTCGACCTGGACAAGATCATACAATCTAGCCACGTTCTCGGGCCTGAAAAAGAAATTATGATAATAAGAAAACCAACTAAGGATATTTTTAAGAACCTACGTATTAATTCTGGAGGTGGCCTCGCGACGAAGGTGCTCCACCTTGTCCAGCGTGATGAAGGTGGCTCTGCCCACGTTGTACTTCTTCAGAGCAGCAATGGCTGCCGCCGCTGTGTCATAGTTGTCGGTAACAATATTATCCAAGCGGCCACAGGCAGTGGAAATGGCCACATCGTACTTGGCATCGATGCCGCCCAAGTTGCCGAGGCGCCCCAGAATGCCAGGGATCTTGCCCTCCATCTTTTGACGCATGAGAAAGTCCAGGACTTTGTCGTTGGAACGCTGAGCCTGCATGTTGCTGGACCTTTCATTGATCTGCAAACGGGATATAAATGCTTAAAATATATATAATATTAAATAATATAAAAATACCTTACCTCTGTTCTCAGTTTGTTGCATTTTATGGACAGATTTCGCTCTTCATGCACCATTTTTTCCACCTCAGCTGTCTTTGTGGCTATTTCCGTTTGCATGCGTGGAATGCTTTCCTTTAGCTCATCAACCTTGGTTAGCTTCTCCTCGAGACTCTTCTGGGACTGCTCGTACGAGTCCTTTAGGGTTTGATACTTCCTAGTCTCGGTGGTCTCTGCCTGCTTGAGGATTTTCAGTTGCGACTCGAATACCTGGAGTTCCGCCTTGGCTGCGTTTACTTTCTCTTTGAGGCCAACCAACTCGTCACTGAGCTTGAGGCGTTTTTCGGTTAGGGGCTCCGACTTTTCCTTCAGCTTGGCAAGCTGCTTTTCCAGCTCTTCATTCAGCGTGACCTTCTCCTTCTCCAGACTCTCCAGCTTTTTGTTGCAATTCTCGATTTCGCGTTGATTATTCTCAGGCAGCTTGTGCAGATCCTCCAGCTCCGTTTCGTTCTTTTCGATCTGCGCCTTGTCCTTCTTCCTCTGCTTGTTGATGCTCTCCATGTTGCTCTGGATCTCAGTGCGTGCTCTCTCGGCAGCCACCACCTTTTTCTTGATTTGTTCGCGCTTCTTAACCAGAGATTCGTAGGCCCTAAGAGAATACATTAGATATTGTGGCGGGGCATAACCTAAGATGGCTCTTACTCAATCTCCTTTCTAATGACGTTCTCCTTCTCGGTCCTTTCCTTATTTAAGGCCTCGATGCTTGCATCATGGGCCTTCAGCTCCTCCTCACAGGACTGGTGCTGCTTCGTGTACTGGTCCAGCGTGGCCTTCTTTATGCTGATTTGCTTTTGAATGATGCAGGAGTTGACGCGCACCTCCTCGTTCTCCTTTTTCAGGTAATCCACGGCCTCGTTGTACGGCTGCTCCAGATCCTTCATCTCGCGCTCAGCCAGCTTGCAGCGATTGTGCTTCTCTGTGCGGTCATCCGTGAGCTGGTCCACCCTTTGGTTGATCTGTTGCAGCGGACGGATGTAGCGCTGTGTGCCGATAATATCCTCTAGGTACTCCAGCATACCGGTTTCGTTCTCCGCCAGTCCTTTCGGCTTCATCATGGCAATGGACTCCACCTCGCCCTGCAGGATCAAGAAGCGGTTGTGCTCCAGATCCACATGGTGCTTCTTTAGAAGCTTGGCCACATCCTTCAGCTGGGCCCGCTTGTCGTTGATTTGGTAATAGGAGGAGCTGTCAGACATGGCGGTACGTTCGATGACGAAGGCAGAGTCTGGGACAGACTCGCACGATCCGTCGTCCTTGTCCACGATCTGCTCGAAGTGCACGGCCACGGAGCAACTTCGCACATTGGGAAATCGCGAGGACGAGTGAATCAAGGTGGAAACCTTCTTGCAGCGGATGCGGTTTGCCCTGCAGCCGAAGACAAACATCATGGAATCGATGACGTTGCTCTTGCCACTTCCATTGGGTCCAATGATGGCGGTGAAGCTCTGGTGGAACGGTCCCAGCTCCACTTCCCCTGCATAGCTCTTAAAATTCCTGTTCACAATCCTCTTGATGATCAACCGCGGCCCTGTGCTCTCCATGGAGCAGTGCGGCGGTATCGGAGGCGGGATATATATATCGCCGATGCGGGTTCCACCCTCCTCATCGTCAAAGATCAGTGCATCATCCAGGGCGTCCACGTCCGCGTCTTCCGAGTCCTGTTGTTGCTGGGCTCTCAGGTGCTGCTGGACCGTAAGCTGCGGCACTCGGAACTGGCCACTTGGACGTCCGCCGCCGGAGCTCTTGGGCGTGCCCATGCTGGCACGTGCCCTCTGCATCATGATATTGGTTAGGGGAAACACGAATAAATGTCAAATCCTTCAAAGTTTCGCTTGACGTTCAGGCGCCAATTGAAAGAGGACGCTAAGTAGAGCTGCATCGATATTATCGATGTTTCGATGTGCGATAGGTAGATTTTCCCTTCCAGGGCAGCTGGTCACACTGAGAAGCACACTTGAAATTGGTGTAGCCATACTTTGCAAGGAAATTCGCTTTTATTTCTTAATTATCCTAGTCTGTTGAAATGTCCTGCTGTTGGAAGATCTCTATTGAGTTTAGACTTTGAAAACATGCACTTCCACCTGAAACAGTTTCGAAAAACTCTCGAAAATGAGGGTCGTGAGACGGCGTTGCCAAATATATCAGACATTCCACAAAAAATGAGTGGCAACGCTCTTGAATGTACCGTTGACTTTTAAAATGAAATTTAAATACGTTAATTAAACGGATGTTCTAGAAGACTTTATCTAAAAAGTCAGAACTACAAATTATTATTGTTGTTTAAATATTTATTTCTTTAAATCTAAATATATTCGTATTCTAAGCTCTAATAACATATTTTTTTAAATTAAATATGTATCAGTCGAATAATCAATTTTTGTATTATTTTAATAGCAATTTCTGTAGCAAACTTGTTCCACTAATCCTACTATTTTCAAACAATAAATTGTTTAAAACCTTTAATTAAAAACTAACTACCGCCGTCTTGCGCTCTTTTCATAACTATTGCACCCACTGCGAAAAGCTTTCTCTTGGCCTGCTCTTGGAAGAGAAATGCCCAAATATATAATGCCTCTGCTGCATCTCACCAGACCTCAGTCACAATTCGACTTTGGCTCTGTGCGGTTGCGGTAACGGTGTTCCGATCGCGTATTTTCCGACGCTCAGACTTACTTAGTTTTCCCATAAGGCACACAAAAAAATATATAAACGGTGTGTGGAACAGATACAAATATTGGACGCACGTAAACTGGAAATCAGGCAGAAAAATGCTCTGCCCGGGGGAAAATGCTAATGCAAATGGCCAAACTGGTTTCACAGTCAAGGTCGGCGTTTCCGCCCAGCGACGACCGTTATCAGTGCAAAAATCCGTGCTCGGCGTGTCCATCCTAATGATGGTTATTATTATGTCGTCTTCGCTGGATGCCAGGCTCATTGGTAATTTCTCCACTTTTGTTTGTCACCGAACCGAATACGAACACCGGGCAACTGGGCACAGCTGGCTCTTTTGATTGGGTTGTAACAAACACACTCACCGAGCGTTGTCCACCTCAACACGCTCTGTCTACTTTTTCTGCTCGGCAGGCTCAGGGAAAATGGGCGTGGGTTTTGTGTTGACATGAACAATGGTGCTACATAACTAATATTGTAGACAGAGATACTCTAGCTGGGGATATGGTAAATAATATGAATCAGACGAAGGAAGTGTACCTATTGAAGATGAGGCTCCGATGTTATTGGCCTCAATCTAAACCCTCCCAACCTGTGAAGTCCATTCAGGCTCCACCCTTATACAACCAATGCTCTACATCCCCTTAGGTGCCCAACAAGATATCAAATTAGTTCATTTTCAAAGTCATATAATTGCAGGCTGAGATAATATTGAAAGACATTTTCCTAAATCTAATCCTTAAGCCTAAGTTTACGTTATTTACGTTACGAGACCTCTTATTGAGTCAGTTTGTTTTAGATCCAATGAAAGGAAATAAAATTTAAGATAAGAAAGAACGCTTTTTCCTTTTTTACTTTACATTAAATAGATTAACTTATTAATATTCTTTTGAATCAATTAATTAATTAAGATGTGCAAACTATTTCAGAAGTCTTGGCGAAATTATAAGGATGGGTTCAGTTTTATTTTGTTGTTTTGCGGCTAGGCCGTACTCACGCTTTCTCCATCGACGTCAGCAGGCCTGATGACTGGTGATGTGTAGCTGTATGTGTTTTAAGTTATTTGAGGGACAAAACGATATTATAATTGCCAAATCTCCCAAAAAAAATTGCTAAATTACGACCGAAAAGGTTTATAAGTACGAATTCTTAAATCAAAAGCTCCTATATGCAAAATTAATTATATTTTAGACACTATCATTCATGTTTATCCGCTCCTGGAGCAGAGTGTGGGCCGGATCAGCCACCAGCTCTCAATACGGATATGTAATGCTACTTCCGTCGTTCGCGCTGATGAAGATGACACGCACTATGTGCGACAGGGATGGCCGCAATCCCTTGCGTGAGGCGTGAGCGGAACGAGACCAGCCCGCCAAGGTGTGGATGCGGCAGAGCGCACGCGATGTGGCAAAGATGCACGGCGATGTGGCAAAGAACGATGTGGCCACGAAAAAGACACACGGCGATCCAATAGGTGCGCCGAAGAAAAGCACGGTGATCCAATATGTGCACCGTGTGAGGGAACGGCGATCCAATATGCGCGCCGTGTGAGGGAACGGTGACACGTTAGCGAGGCGGTAAAGAAAATCCAAATCGAGGATCACCGCAATCGGCACGTGTATGGCCGCCGAAATGGGAAGCGCAGCCCCACGCTGTGCGTGCGAATGCTCCGATGACACGTGGCGTTGATCCCGCTGAGAAGCCACAGACAATGCCAACGATGAATGCCACAAATGACTGCCACCTCACGTGGTGGGCAATTGCTGGCAAAAACAATGCCGGTCGCTTGGACGACTCTGCCGATACGGCTGACGCTGTTTTGAAAAGGCAAAATTAGCACTCCGGCGATCGATTATTCACACAAGCTTACCAATATACGTTAGAGCACTAAATTTACTTAATATGGGTATGATTCGCTTTAACAAATACTGTCGGATCGACACGATGCTTGCGGATTTAGGATCGACAAAAATTAATCCGAACTCGGGGACGCCTTGTGAGAAAGAGAACGGAAGTGAGGGGATCCAATGTGACCGTGGCTTGCAAAAATCCTGTTCGCGAATTTTTGTGGTCTTTTTTAGGTCCTATCGCATATTAGCGATTTGGCAGGATCGTAACTTTAACAGCCCGGTTGTTTGAAAAATGTGGGCGATAAAACTTATCGAGTTGCCACACTGGCTCGATTCCCACAACCACAGCTTTGATTTTTAGTCCCTGTGATTAACAATAAAAGCTGAAAAAGGAATCAAGAGCAATCACCAGATATCCTTGGCATGAAATCTACCCAGTTCCTTTCCGTTCATGTCCTCTAAGAGGTAAATTGACTGTCCAATTCTTGCCTTCACTCGGGCCTTGATACCTACAGGAGCGAGTTTCGCATTAAAATCCTTTGCTGCGTTGCTAAGTACAAAATTCCTTTTGACTACTTCTTGGCCAACCTCAAAAGAACGGGGTCTTGTTCGAAGATTGTAAGACTTTTGGTTTGCCTCGTAAGCCTTATTCAAATGTTTGCCGATGTTAGAACGAATCCTTTGGAATTCGTCAGTTTTTGTCAGGCTTACTTCGCCTTCTGCAAGAAGGTTTAGTTTACGCAGCAGTTTGTAGTCATGACCGTGGGATATCATGTGTTGACCAAAAACAACATGATAAGGCGATAAACCGATGGATTGGTGAATCGAGTTACGAAGAGAGCAGTTGATGCTACTGAGAAATGTGTCCCATTCGCGTTGGTCGGTGCGAATATATGCTCTTAAAGCAGCATTGATTGAACGGTTGACTCTCTCAGCACTGTTGGATTGTGGAGCATAGGCACCAGTAAACATATGACGAACGCCATATTTCGAAAGGAAGTCAGAGAAATCACGGCTTTTAAATTGAGTTCCGTTATCACTGACGACTGTTTCGGGTACACCAAAGCATGAAAATATTTCATCGCGCAATATATTGATGACCACTTTAGCCGTAAACTTTTTCACTGCTTTTAGAAAGGTGAATTTGGAAAAGTGATCAAGAATAATCAATATTCCAATATTGCCGGAATTGGAGCGCGGAAATGGCCCTATAAAATCGAGATAAAGTCTTTGGAATATCCTTTCACTTTGCACTTGTGCTCCCATTGGTGGTTTTAAAGAATGGGTAGGATATTTTGTGGTCTGGCATGTTTCGCAATTTCGAATGTAATCACGAACGTTGATAACCATGTTTGGCCAATAGAAACGTCGTCTGATACGCTCTAGGCATTTGGCCATTCCACAATGAGCAGATGTTGGTTGGTCGTGAGCCGAACTAATTACACTTTGACGCAACGACTCAGGAACGAAAAGTTTCCAGCAATCGTCTGGTGAAACGTCATAAGAATTGGGGAACGTTGCACGATGATAGATGAACTCATCTATGACTTTGAAATCCGGTGATTTCAGAGATTTGAATTTGTCTCTGAGAGCGGAGTACTCTTCCGATTGAAAAGCGCTTGATGATAGGTCAATTTCGGGATAAATTTCAAGGTCTATTGCAGAGATGTCAATCTCTTCGAACGATCGAGTCAAAGCATCTGCCACCACATTTTCGGTTCCTTTGCGATGTTCGATTTGGAAAGAAAAACCCTGTAGCTTGATAGCCCATCTTGCCAATCTACCGCTTAGATCCGATTGGTTCATTAGCCATCGAAGACTTGAGTGATCGGTTACTACCTTAAAGCTATGACCGTCAATGTACATTCTGAACTTTTTAATTGCTAACACTACAGCCATGCATTCGAGTTCCGTAACTGTATAGTTACGCTGGGCTTTGTTTAGCTTTTTGGACATGAACGCTATGGGACGCTCACAACCGGAATCGTCGCATTGAGCTAGAACTGCACCCACTCCATGTAGTGAAGCATCACACTGCAAAATGAATGGTTTGTCGTAATTGGGATGAACAAGGCAAGGAGCAGAGCATAACTTAGCCTTGATGTTTTCGAAAGCTTCTTGGGCATTATCGTTCCAACTTAGTGTTTTGCCACGTAGTTGTTCCGTCAGATGGAAAATGACTGTGGAATAGTTGGATATGAACCGCTGGTACCAACCAGTCATACCAAGAAATCTTCGGAGCTGTTTTTGGGTCTTCGGAACCGGAAATTCGCTCACGGCTGCGATTTTGTTTGGATTTATTTGAAGAGTACCTTCACCCACCAGGTAACCAAGGTAGTCTACAGTTTTCAGGCAGAATTGACTTTTCTGAACGTTTATTGTTAATCCAGCCTTACGCAATTGGGTAGCTACTTCGGATAAATGCAGAAGATGTTCTTCGAAGTTGTTTGACAAAACAAGCAGGTCATCGAGGTAGACTAACACATGCGATTTTAATTGATAGGGAATAACCAAGTCCATTAATCGGCACATGGTTTGTGGAGCGTTTGACAATCCAAAAGGCATCCTCTTGAATTGATATAGCGGACGATTCGGAACGGTAAAAGCAGTTTTGGCACGAGATTCTTGATCTAAACAGATCTGCCAAAAGGCATCTTTGAGGTCAATTTTGGATATGCAGTGTACGGGTGGAAGTCGACTCAGCAATCCATCCATTATAGGGATGGGGTATGCGTCCTTCACCGTGACTGCATTCAATTTCCTTGCATCGAGACAAAATCGTACCTTGCCCGGCTTGATGTGCAAGATAACTGGAGAAGACCAAGGCGATGAAGGAGCCTCTTCGATGACATCCATTTTAATCATGCGGTCGATTTCTTCACATAAAAGTTTTTCTTTAGCTGGTGAAAGTGGATAGAATCGTTGCTTTATTGCCTTTGCATTGGATGTGTCGATATTGTGCTCTAACAACCTAGTTAATCCTAAGCCCTCGTTCTCGAATGATGGAAAAAAGTCTATTACTTTCTGCAATTTTGATTTTTGTAAATCGGACAATCTCACATTATTCGAGTGTTCTTCCGGTTCACAGTTAATTTCGTTGATCGCAACTGTTTGCTTGATCGAAATGCCAAAATTTTGCCAAAAATCCATTCCGCATATAACTTCATGCTTTATCGAAGGTACTATCAGGAATTCAAAGTTGTCACTAATTGAGTTATAAGTCAGGGGAATGTGTATCGTGCCTGCAACATATTGCGATTGCCCATCAGCGGTTCTCACTACCGATTTAAATTTATTAAACGGCTTAGCTGAAATTATTTGTTTTGCTAGCTCACCACCTATAACGCTTTTGTTGGCGCCACTGTCCAAGAGAGCTAAATACGGTTGACCAAATATTTCTATGTTTGTAAAAGGCCG